TTTTCGATTTTTTGAGGTTTGTGCTCGTTTGTATCCTAACATTTACATAGACTTTATCTTTACCTAAACTTGAACGATGTTAAACGCTGTTACCGCTGTGAAAACGCCTTCTTCGACTGACTTGAAATCAAATTATTTTCTCATCAAGTTGAACTTGAAAACAAAATTACGCTCATTTAAGTCCAACTCATTACGGGCAAGTTCAGAGGAAAGCATTTGAAATTGTAAAGTAAATTGTTGGCAAAAGCAACAATTGGTAACCTCTTGAACGTTAAAAACTGTTTACAATGTTGAGACCATTAGTTTTTGCACAGTAATGATAGACTAAATTAGATGCGATGAAACGGTGAAAATTTAAAGCTGATCAAGACACTATTATCATTGCAGTTGGTGTCTTTTTCAACACAACAATTTAACCCGAAGTAAACTTATCATGTTAACCATTAAACCCGTTGTTAAATGATTATAATCATACTTTTAAATGTCATGTTACGGTTTTGGACATTTTACCTTTTCTGTCTGCACACTAATTGTATTATTGATAATGTGACTCTTAATTTAGTTTTTTTTTTGTTTTTCTTTGATTTTTTTTCTTCGTCCTTCCAAATGTTTAGCCAATAATAATGAAAAATGGTTAACCTGACCATTACAATTAACTTTAATGTTGCTGCTTATAAATTACATCCTAAAGTCTCATCATGATCATCATCATAATTATCATCTTTCTTCCTGGTTGACAGGGTCAACAGACATTTTTCACTTTTACCTTTAAGCCAAATATCATCATCGTAACCCATTATTCAATTATCATGTGAACTTGTTGAAACAACTGGAAAAGCGGTTGAAATGGTTGGACCAAGGCTCAGTGACCAAAACACACTTTCGTGAAACATGAATAATTGCAACAATTAACCAATGAATATCAATAAAGATCTGATCAAGTGTAGCGAAACAGTTAAGCCTTTAAGGTTTACATTTTGCATGAATTTGTATTGACTTATTTAACCATTTGATTGGAATTGATTTATTGCGATAAAATGTGTGAATAAGAGTCAAATGAATACAAAATGTTCCCAAATCAATTTAATCATTAAACAAGGTTAATCAAGAATTAAAAATTTGATACTCTTCAATAAACACTTGAAGATACAAAAGAGTTCAGCTTAATGGACAGTCACTTGATACATTTAAAGACTTTTAGCAATTAATAGTGTTCAATGGACGTTTAAAAGTCAATATTAGTTTTGGCACTTTAGCACACCTTTTGTCCCACTTAATTGTGATTAAATTGAAGGTAGCAACTTGAGGCTTTCAGACGCAAGAAAAAAAACGGTTTTCCTTTTCATGCTACTGTGCAACTTGCCGAGTCACCAAAGGGAGTTGGAAAATATGAGCGGAAAAAAAGGATCCATTTGACAGGTAAAAAGCTCAGCAATGAAAAAGGTGAAAAAGATGAGGGTGATGTTGACTGTGAAAGATAAATTGATGCCGATGATGATTATGATCAACAGCAAGTCAAAGGGAGGGATAAAAATGAGTGTTTTACTTGAAGAGGTGACAATATTTACCATCAAATGAAACCACATCCATCATTATGATTGCAAGAAAAAAGTTTCTTTTTCTTTTCTTTTCTATTCTACAAAAGCATCATTATCATCCATCGATTATTGACTCTCCCCACTGTTTAGCACCTTAGCTCTTGGCACAGGAGGAGTAACATAAAGTCGCCAAACAACAAACATGAACAAAAGAAACGTTGGAAAAGAGCAACAAAGAACAGAAAATTAAAGTTGAAAAATGTTTCAATGTTGAGGCCTTTCACTGTTAGGCCTTTGTAATGGTTAACAGCAACCCAGTCAAGCAATCAGCTAGGTTACAACCTTTCCCCTTGACAAGGGTCTTTACAAGGCAACAGCGAGAAAACAGTTTTTACGTTTTCACATTGTTTAGTTGTTATTATAAATCTTTTTTTATTAACATTTATTTGACTTTTCATGTTTTATTGCTTTTCACATTTGCTTATTCCCATCATCATCACTCTCATCATATTATCATTGTCATCATTCGCTATTAACCAATATTCAACAAATCTTTTTTCCCCTCTTTTCCAATCTATTACAATTGGTGTTGATATTTTTTCATATTGTGTCGAGTTGCAAGAAACAATTTTCACTTTTCTTCCCTCATCTTCATCAACATCTTTAGTTTTATACATTTCAACAAGTAACGGCTTTTCATCATCAACTTTTTTCCATATTTTGCTTCTTCTTTATTGTATTCAATTTGAGTTTTCACTTTCATCTTCATTTTTAAATGGCAATTGATGATGATAATGATGAAAGTGATGAGGTAATAGCGTTGGGTGAAGTGATGGAAGTATAAATTTTTATTGAAAAGTTGATTACCTTGAAGCAAATTGTATTTCAACTTTTCTTTATCTTCATCATCATTTATGCTAACGGCACTTTTAATTGTGATTTAAATGCGATTCTTTTCACTTTTCTTTATTCCATGAATTTGTGAAATGAATTTTTCACTTTTTTCTGTATTTCATCAGCAAATTACTCTTTAACTTTAATCATTTAACCAATTTAAAATGCATTATTTTGTTGGAGTTGCCATTAGATGAACAAACTTCAACCTGATTAACCAACATTTTTTTTGGGTGCTTAATTGTTGCCATCAAGGTGAACAAGTGATTAAATGTTTTTAATCAAACAATCGATTCTTGAAACTCTTTTTTTTCACTTCTTCGCCTGTTTGTGTTACAAGAAGAAGAAAAAGTTTGCCCAAAATTGAAATGTAAAGAAAGCTTAATTTGATTTCTTTCAACATTAATATATTAATCAATCAAATCAATTACAATTGCCATTGAGATTAAAGCCAATTTGAACCTTGAATTTGATGGGAAACTCTATTAAACTCAATTGATTGGAAATGATGAGGAAATGTGAGAAAAAAAGGTTTTTTTTTCATTTCAATTTACAATTTATTTCGATTTTGATTACAAGGTAAATTATGATTTGTAAGGTTGATCAATTGATAGACTTAATTTACCTTGCAAATGTTGATGAACGATGGTCACATTTAAGGCTAATAATGCTAATAGAGAATCTAATTACTGGCTTCTTCATTTAATAATCAAGAGAAATGAAGAAAGTTTCAACTAATTTAACTTGCAAATGTTGTCATTTGCAAAAAAGGTTAAACTGTTTATTGAAAACAATTGAATGTATGCATGGTAATGAGGATGAGAAAGTGAAACTGACCTTCATGAGTTGACGATGAAAAATGAAAATGAAATTTTTCTTCATTTTTTCTCATCAAAATTTCCATTTTCATTTTAAAAATTTTCATGACAAATATTCAGAAGCCAGGTCAAGAGTTGAGAGTGCTTCAACATTGAGTGACATTCATCAAATTTTAGACTAAACCCAAGCTAAGACATCAACCTGAGCTGTGAAATTTAACGATTCAATAGGAAGAGTCTCTAATGATTTAAACAGCTTTGAAATAATAGGTAATCGGGTGAGTAAATCATTTCATAAGACTCGCACTATTGTCTCAATTTTTATGGTCAAAAACAAAGGTCGAGACAAATCTTGTCGAAAGGACAGTTTCACTTGGAAAAATGAAATTTTTTGTTTGCAAGTCATAAAATTTAGACGGACTGACTTTTTCATCATTTGACAAACTGAAACCAAAAGTGTCCAATTCAGTTTTAACTGACTTGCAGCTTAAAACATTTGCTCCTTTGAAGGCGCAACCTTAGGGCTTTTCACCCAAACATGTTAACGTGAGTTGAGTTTGTTGATGATCATCAAGGTGGGAAAAGAGTTGAGACATTTTAGGAAATAGTAAACTTGAATAAATCTGGTCAAAGCAATGATTCTTGTAACTCTAAAAAATGTATTCCTTTGCTTAGAATCCTGGTTTTCATTGTTACCCAATTCTTGCTTAAGGCTTTTCAAAGTTGAAACAGTTATAACCAAATTCATTGCTCAAGATGTGTTTAGTTAGGGCGCAAAACTTGTATCGATGAGTTTGCTTGTTTAGGACTTGGAGGAAATAAAGTTTGATCTTGAAAAATGAAGCAAACTTAAGGCCAAGACATTGAATGTTTTCGCCACAAAAGCAAACTAAATCAGCTTGATCGAAGTATTTTGATTAACATCGAAATCGCGATCGTTATTTTACGGGATTTAGCAGCTGATTCAAAACGCTTGTGTGGCTCAGCTTTGGTTAACCTTGCAAGTCCGTTGGACGTTAGACCCAAACGGGAGTAAATTTAGTTTCTGGGTTTTCTTTGGTGAAATTGAGTTTCTTTACAGCTTTCATATCAACCTACTTCTGATCAAAGTTGTTATCAACTTTTCCATCATTTACCTTGAATGTTCATTAGATCGACTCTAATCAATTCAATACACATTTCGCTGTTCATTTTCGACTCTCTATGGAATACACAGAATTTTCTTGTTTTTTTCCTTCTTCTTGTTGTTGTTGATGCTTGTTTCATCCATTCAATTGAGTTCAACTTTTTATTCTTGCTTCGAAACCTCATTGTAATCAAGTCAATTAAGAGAGCAAATTAAAGTAAACTTTTTACAATTAACGAGACAATTTATTTTAGTTTTGTTCCCTTTACGTTTCTTTACTTTTGTAACTAACCTAACGATATATTGTTACACTGATTAGAGAATTGTAATCATCTATAACATCGGTTAATCAACTAAATTGTTAATCAATAATTTTCAGGAAATTGTAAATTGATTCACTTTATGGTTGTAACTGAAACTTGCTTTGGCTTAGTTCATTGGAAATCAGCAAATTTCAAATTTAATCAGAGACTTTCATCAAACTAAATCAAATTTCAGTAAACATAATGCTAATCAACAATTATAATTCAACTTTTACTTATTTAATTTAATCTTCAAATTAACCGCTACTTTGTAAACCCCTTTCAGTGTCTATTGTTTTCCCCCAATTTTCAATCACAAGTTTCCCACATTTTAACGGTCATTTTTGTCTGCAATTTTCAATCTTTTGTCTAACTGTTATGATCTTTAATTAACACTAATTTTTAATTAAATGTTTTAGTTTTAACGTATTTTTTGTTGATTCTGCAATTCTATTTGTGTCATGAATCGGTGGTTTGATGGTTTCAGTCTTTTGGTAAGTGCTTAGATTGAGATTTATTTCTTTGTTTATTGGTCTTGTTATTTTCATTGTAACTTGTCTGCTATTTTTCACAGGATTGTTTAAGATCTGGATCAAGATTGATTTGGTGCTGATTTTAACTCTCGATAATTTGATTAGTGTTAACACAACTGTTCATCAAGCCGTCTTGGTAAAAAGGCGACAAAAATGGTTACAATGGAGTCAAGTTATACATGTAACAACGTTCAATTAGACAGCAGTTTTAGACGCGCAACCTGAGCCCAGTCATTGAATCCAAAAGGCTAACTTGTACTTACCAATTAACTCAACAACAATCAGTTAACGTTATAAAACAATTAACACACCACAGATGAAAACAATAAACAAAGCCAAGTAAGCGAAGCAACAGTAAAGGTTAACAAAAACGCAACGCTAGTGGAGGCAGTTGCTTTATTACACAGGAAAAGTGGATGGAAGCACGTTAATGTTAACAACAACGGACCAAACAAGAATCAAGTTTTAGAAGCTCATCATAAATCTAACACGAAAAAGAAGAAGATGAAGTTAATCTTGAGCTTACAAACAAAATTAACAACAAAATCCTAGTTAAACTTATTATTTGTAAATCTGTTTGGGGTAAAGTAAATGAAATTTTGTGTAAAAAACTCACGATTAGATCATAAAGTTTGCTAGTTTCCTTTACTTTTTACCCCAAATTTACTCTCATTTTAACCTTGAATGGCTATTATCAGCTTTAGTAATGTGAATCTTTTTTCCTCTGATTCAACAGTCTGAGCCTTGGAAGAAATTTTTTTTGAAACAAAGAAATGGTAAAGTTAAAGATTGGAGGGAAGCAAAAACTAATAACAATTTGGTCCTGATTGTCTTAATCAATCAGTTAATCAACACGCAATGGCCCTTAAGGAAGCTTGACTTGTATCATCATATAAACCTCAATTCAACCAAAATTATTATATTAAAGTAAAGATCCGATTGATTAAGTGGCAAGCCATGATGATAAACTTAATTAAACTTTTCTCCATCTTCACCATCTTCAACATCCTCACCATCTTTACCATCTTCATCTACATCATCTTCATCTTAATCTTCAGTGACAGTGTTTTATGCAGCAAAGGCAAGCAAAATTTTCATTTTTAATCTCAAATTTATCTTTACAATTATTGCAGATGTTAATCGCAACTGGAACCATATTTTTCAGTTTAAAATGTTGATAATAATTCTGCTACAATATGTAATAACGATAAATTTGAGTTGAAAATATTTTTATAAGTTTTGCAAAAGTAAGTTCAATTAATTCTGGTGCAAGAAAAGTAGCAAAAAACATAATTGATATAAATTAGTATTTACAGGTTCAAGTGTAAATATTTTACGACTTTTTAGTTTTGTTAATTGAATAGGAAAGTTTACTGGAACAGATTTATTAATATAATAATAATAAAAACTCAAACCTGGTGCAATACAATTTATGACAAAACAAAAAGTATAAATTGATGAAACTTTGCTGTTTGAACAATTTTTGCAAAACTTATTACAACTTTCAAGATTTCAAGACTAAATTATCATCATGAAATCTTGAAAACTTAAATAATTGAAACATTTGGTGTTTGCCTTTTTTTTAATGAAAAGCAAAACAAATTTATTTCATTTTTTAAATTATTTTTACCCAAAATTGATGGCAACAATTGATTATTTTGTTGACTATATACAGATTGCGAAAGTTATTGGAAGCCAAAGGAGACGGAGGAAAAGATTTATTAATCAATGGAATCTTTAAATTTCATTAATTAACATGAAATTGTTTCATTTAATTGTGCCATGAAAATTACTGGAGGAAAATCAAAGCAAAAAGAAAGAAACGGAATTGCCTTTGAGGTTACCAAAGTTTCAAATGAATAATCATGCTATTGAAGATGAAACGGGAAAAGAATTTCAATCAGACTGAATTGGTTCCGTTTTGGTGACGAAGGTGACATTTATTGTTGGACCAGACAAGGTTGAAGGATACGCCAAGAAGTGGCCAAAAGGTTAATTTGATTGATGGTCCATTGCTTATCAAAGGTTATAATTTAAGTGTACCCATTTTCACCCTGAAGGGTCAACTATTGAAAGAAGAAGACAAACTTTTCATTTTGCAAATATTTTGTTTCTCAACATTTCCAATGTTTACCTTTTTTTCTTCTTTCAGACAAAATTATATCTTGATAAGCAAAGGATAATTTCCTCCAGAAAATGATAAGAATGCAATAATGAAGAAATTTTCATCTTTTTTGAGCTCAGAATTTTTTACTATCTGATCTTCAATATCTTATTTAATCAGTAAATTTTAAACATTTGCTTTTACCATTTTCTGATCTCAATTCATCATTTTTTGACAGTTATGAATAATTTTTCTTTTTTCTTTTCCAGGAAACTTCTAACATGATATTCATAATTAGCTAATTCCAGTTTACTGAGTGGTTCATCGTCTATGCAAAAGTGTGGAGAAGAGTGCATTAGAAGAGAAGAAGAGAAAAAATCCGGTAATTCTAATTGTTGGTGTTTCAATTTTTCTGTGGGTCAACTTGGATATGCTGTCGCTAGTAAATCTTCTGAGAAAATATTCAATTGAGTTTAAATTCTCCAGTCGAACAATGATGGAATGGAATCAGTTATTTTTCATGGATTCATTAAGTGATTTGGAAGTGATATTCAATTTACCTTCGCATTTATGAGTTAAAGCGATGAAACAATTGGATAATTAAAATTGTCAAGCTTGAATTTGCATATTTTTGTGATAAAAATTTGATTTATTCAACAATAACAATGAGCTAATTGCTTCTACAAAATCTTCATTATCAAGTTGATGAAATAATGAAAGCTATTTTAATGAATTCATCACCATGCCACAACAAGTGAGTAACTTTACATGTTGAAAAGGCTTTGTCTGATATAAGCCTCAAGTGTGTAATTGTTAAGGGCGTTTTTCAATTCGAACGCCTGTCTGTTGAAAAACTCGAGATACAAGCAGCTTGAGTTAAGTTCCAGACTTCATGCTGAAACTGTCGCCTTTTCTAGATTTAATTTAATTAATACAAGCATATTCATTTTTTTGGCCTCCATTTCTTATTAGAAGGTCGCTACCAAATATTTCTCGTTCGACTGGATGGCGTTTGCCTGTAATTGATACCCCCTGCCATTAAGAAGTTGTACGAAAAAAACCTCCACAGCTTAGCTGATAAATGCTTGCTAGTATTTCCAATAGTACATGATATCAATTTCAAATGAATGCGGGTACAAGATGTCAAAGGCGACTAATTGATCTTTTTGATAAAGTCAAAGTCAGGAGCTCAGCAATAAGCGATTAATTTTCAAGACTTAATTTGACATTTTCCACCTCATTTAACCAACTAGACTTTGGCCAACTACAACGAGAGGAAAAGGAGTGCTGTTAAAATTTCCAAATACTAATCAATCTCTATTCATGGATTAATATGGTTTTTTGCATGATCTTCACAATTATGGACTATCAAGGATCAATCTAATTTTAAAAACCGCTCTTTTGGCATTTATGGTCCAATCCTTTTCCAGATATCTTTTGTTGATTTTGGATCTTGTTTGTGCTTCTAAATATATGATCTGTTGCACCAGTTGGAACAGCTGTTACATTGTCATGAGTTTTTCATTTCCGATTCAGCATCAAATAGGGAAGTTTTGTTTCCAGCTTTGGCTTCATCCATGTTTGATCAACTATTGAAACTTGGGAAAAAAAGTTGGATTCATTTTGAATTTTCTGGCAAACTTGAAGTCTCTTTTTGCTACACTATTTGCTGGTTTTTCATGTTTAAAATTTTTGATTACAGTTAAAGATTAACCTTGAATTGTTCAATTTACTAGACTTGAAACTGAACAAACTTGAAAAATTGGAGTTGTAAATTTTTTCACTTTAAAATTGACTTTTGCCTCTATTTTTTACCTTCCTTAAGGCCATTTAAAATGCAATCTTGGCCTGTTTGGGTTTACATTTGTTTGTATTTCAAATTTTTCAATAAATATTGAAATTTAATGTTAACATGACAATCTTTTCTTCCTACAAACCCAATGAAATGAAAAAAAGCATTCCAGTGATCAGTTTACTTAATTTCACCCAATTTTACTCTGTTCATTACTGTAACCTTTTCTCATGTTAACCTGTTTCTGTTGTTATTTGTTTCTATTAGATGAGATTGGCAAGGTTTATTCATTATCATTATTCAACATGAAAGGCCTAAAGGGAGAAAGTAAAAAGTGAACGATAAAAAAATGAATTAAACAAAAAGGTAAAAATGAGGTTCAACAATTTTCTGTATCTTTCACTTTCAATATTCAGATGGCATGATAATGGGAATGATTTGAATAAAATTGGATAAAGCCTTGTTTAATATTAATTTCTTGTTGATAAGGTCAACTCATTAAGAAGCAAAAATCATCTAAATTGTTGAAAATTTTAATGATCAAATCAACATTGAAATGGCTTAAAAGTAACCTTCATTTCAAGCAATTTTAAAACAGAAAATATTTCAAAGCAAAAAAAAATTCTCAACAATTGAATAAATCTCACAAAATTGACAAATTAAAATTGAATCAAAATTCATCTCAAGTAAGAACTTTTAAAATTGAAATCTTTTCACAATTGAATTCAATTTTCACTGTAAATTGTCAACTTGCAGTTGAATGTTAACTGTAAATTCATTTTCCAATTACAATTAACTCTAATCGATAAAAGTTGCAAATGATTGGTAAATGAGTCAAGTATCTTAACGTTGTTATTCAATTAAACAAGTTTACGTGAAAATTAAAAGATTGTTAAACAAGGCAAACATTTCCTTGATCAACACTTTATTCATCATAATTAACTGTTAACTTTGATTAATACGATGAACTGAAAGCTGAATAATGTAAATACAATTTGCTCTTCTTTCAAGATAATCATTTGTGATAACAATTTACTGGTTGATCCTTTCCATAAACAGCAACAATAACCTTTCAACAATCAACTGTTATTAAAAAGTCCAATTGTTATTAAGTTATCAAATTTAATCTCTAGTTGATCAAGTGAAATCACAGTTGCTGTTGAAACTAGCGATTAAGTTTTAAATGAAACAATCATTGATGATCAGTCAAATCTGTGGTTTTAAAGATGAACCAAATGTCAGATTAAGAAGAGCAGCAAAAAATGAATCACAATTGACCAGCAATTTAATTGATCATTAACCAATTCAAGTTGATCGATGAAACGTTTTTGCACATTATTCAATGGAAACTCTTGAAATGCATGAATAAACAGGGGAAAAAAGGTTAATCTTTGAAAGAGTAAAAAGAAGAAGATAAAAGCTCTTCCTCTTATTATTCAAATTTAACCATTTACTTTAAACAACTTTGCTTCTTCTCTGAATCAATTGAATTTACAATTAAATTACTTGTAAACAGTTTATCCTAATTGTTTGCCTCCATTACAATTATGTATGGTGAGGAAAGGGAGGAAAAAAAGGTTTTGATGATGAAAAGACGATGAAATGTATTTACTTATTCATTTGAGTGAATCAACTTTTGTTTCAATTGAAATTGAATCAGTGTTGATTTAGTTGATGATCACCTTAACCTGGTTAAAAAGGTTTAATGTAAAACAATTGAAAAATTGTTAAGCGATTAAAAGATAATCTTAAAGTGAAATTACAATTGTTTTCATTTTGTTTAACCTTTTCATCGTCTTCATCTTGAGACCATCAGTTGTTTGGTTATTTACTGTCAACAGTAGCTATTGAAATGGTTGACCTGAACAACAGTTGAAAGTGGTTATGATTATGGGAAAGTATATCAAGAGGATAAATTACATGAAAAGTGTGTTCAAAGTTGAACCAATTTGAGATTGTATCATGCGTAGATGAACATTCATTACATGGAATCAATGGGAATCGATCAATGATTAGATGGCGAAGAAACTGGCGAGTGCAAGGGAAAAGTGTTTCTCTACTTTTTATCTGAAAACAGAACTTGAATAGTTGAAGAGATTGAAGACAAAAACAGATGATGATGATGATGATGATTAAGGAAGAAGAAGAAGAAGAAGAGGAAAAAAAAGTTAGTCCTGAATGGAATTGTATTTCAAGACATTCTCAGTTGGGTATAAAATGCATGGAAGATGGTGAAATATGTTTAGATATTTTGCTTCGTCTTCACCTTCAGAATAAGAATGAACCATGATTGGGATGATAATGATGATGGTGATGATGGTAATGAAGAAGAGTGAAGGATAAAAAGGATGAATGAGTTGAATGGTATATGGCTCATTTAGTGAATCAACTGTAATTCTAGATCCTATTAGGATAACTTGTCTTTATCATCATCATCATCTTGTTGGTAAATATCCTAAAAGATGTTGTCTCTTGATACTTAATCATCAACTCAAGTATAAAATGTGAAAACAAAAGGATTAAAATATGCAATTTGATTCAATGATGGAAACATCTCAATCAGAATTTACTTTTTAATCGTAAATATTGATTTTTTAATTTTTCCATTTTTTCTCATTTGTTGTGACAATTTTTTCATCTTTTTTCAATCATTTCCTTTCAATTGTTTCAATTGATTAATTGATTTATCATATTTTCACTCTTTTCCTGTCAAACTGATTATTCAGTTTGCTCTGTTGCTTGAAATTTTTGGAAAATATTTCAATGACATTTCTCTGGATTTGCTTCTTGTCTCTTTGCCTTCCCTGTCAACACTGAACCATTTCTATTCATCTTAACATGATTATCATCTTTTCTTGCTTCATCTTCCACTGAACCTTTTTTGTTCACCAATTTCCTGTCATGGTGAAAGTGCAACAAGATGAGAAAGTTGCTCTTCATCTTCCTCTGTCAATTATCCTTTTCAAAAATTTAAACTATGTAATGATGATAACAATATTGAATAATGTGAAACTTGAGAAGACATTGATAAGCATTGAAACTTGCTTTTTTCACATCATTTCCTGGTCTCTTTATGATTATCAATTCTGGTTAATCAGATTAGGTTGGTTCATTCAATTTTAGCTCAACAATCAAATGGAGGCAAAAAGAAAGCAAAGCTTCAATTGACAAATTGATAAACAAGACGAAAGGAAAAGATGATGATGAAGTAGAGGAAGAAAAAGAGGTAAAAAAAAGGATGAAAACAACGACCAACGAATGATAATCTCTCATGAAATTTATCATCATCATGTTTTGTTATTAGATTTTGCTACAAAAGCTTTAGAAGTAAAATTAATTAGATAAGTTAAGGGATAGATGAGTTAATTCAATTATGAAGGTTGAAATAATTACGCTCAACTTGTTAAATCAGTTTAAACAGTTTCACCATCAATTTGTGCCATTTTTTAATTCAAAACATGATCACAATTCAAGCCTAAATTGAAAAGAGAAAATATTTAAACCAGAAAATTTTGGTTTCCCTCAGCCTCTAACAATGTAAACAATACAAATTCTAGCAATTCTTGGAAACTATCACTTGATTCAACAGAAACAAGTTATGCTAAAAGTGCTGAGAAAGTGAACATGAACAATTTTTAGACCGTAAAATACTCACCTCAAGTGTCTCATTTGATGGGACAAGAGTCACTCTTCTAGGTTGAAGGAAACACGTCCAACTCGCTAACTTACGTATCATTTTATCATTCATTTTTTTCGTTGAAAATATTTATACTCACCAAGATGATGATGATCAAGATGATGATAGAGTTGATTCTGATTAGAATGAAACTTAATTGTGTTCAAAATTAAAATGATATGAAAATAAATCAACGTGAAAAAGACCCTTTCAATGTGTGGCTTTTGATCGGACAAGAGTCACTCTGTTGGGTTGACGGTAACACATCTATTGCCTTACTTGACTTGCTTTACTGATCAGTAAATTTTAATGAAAATAATGGTTGATGAAAAAGAAAGGAGACAAAGTTAAAGGTGAGTCTCTTTAGGTGAATATTTGTATCCCAATAGGACCATATATCACTGATGAAATGAGAAATGTTTCTTACTTTTACCTTCTCTTTCTTTTCCTATCCCTTTCAACCTTTCCATCTTGTCTCATTGTTTACAAAACAACAGTAAGAAATGAATGGATGCAAAAGAAAAGCAAAAGGTGAAACGAAGATGAAGAAGATACATGGTTTTTTACCTGATTTTGTTTTTTCTTGTTATTTACGTTCCTTTTACATTCTCATTCTTCCTTAATGTCACCTTACAATTCAAAAGGTAAGGTTAATTCGTTATTTCTTTTTCTTCTTCTTCACCCTCTGAGGCTCATTGGATTCACAATATCAGAGAACCATCTTCAACCTATTCAGCTTTAGTGGGCAGAAAAGCAGAAACAAATATGAAAAGAAGGTAAAATATCTTCTTCTTCATTTTTGTTACAACAAACGTTAACGTTACAATAACGTCCATTTGTTGAATAAGTTGATGTCTTTCAAGACTGAAAACACGCACAAGGTAAGAGTTAACTTTTTTGTTTGGGTGAAAGGACAAAGGATAAAAGGTCAAAGATGGGAGAAGAGAAAAGATGTTTATTGTTGTTATCAGCATCATTTGCTTAATTCTGGGAATCATTTTCTTTTCATTTTGTTCAACTTTTTCTCCACCAACCAAGCAAACCAAGAATGATAATGATGAAAAAACCTCCCAAAGAGCTTTAAATAAGGGTAAAGGTCAACCTTTTCGTTGAACAATTATTGTTACTTTTTTATATTCATCTTCTTCATTCTCATCCTTTATCTTCTTCTTCACTGGTTTTCTGCTTTGATTCATAGTCAATCAGTTGATAATAAACACACAGTTTACCAGGAAAGTAGCAAAACATGAGCCTCAACTCTATGGGCTTGTTGGCATGAGACCAGCAATCTATTATTCAATAAACCTTCACCATCATCATCATCATTCTCTGTGTAAATAAACAGAAACTTTCATCTTCTTCATCATCTTCTTCATCTTCTTCTTTCAATTGAAAAAGGAGGAAAAATTTAGCTTCATTAAACTTTACATTATTACCTTTTTTTTGTGACTAGTCTTTTCTTTGAAATGATGACGTAGGAAGATGAAGAAGATGATGACGAAGATGAAAACTGTCTTGTTACTCTCTTGTTAGAGTAGCAATTGTAGTCTTATTGTTGTCATTATGCATGGATACATATACTTAAAAAGCAAAGGTCAGGTCAAAAGGGTCAATGGTGTATAATGAGGGTGAAACAAGGTAAATATTATGAGATATATTGGTAAATATCAAGTTAACTGTCCATGGGAATATTAACATTATCCTTTCTTGTTCCTCTTCGTCTCAGGCTGGTTCACTTTCTAGATACATTGGTAACTATCGTTAAATAAATAGATATTTTTTGTAGTCTATTGTGTACTCTATCTTGTTGGTCATTACAGGTTTCAACCTGAAATTTCAACTATTTATTTAACTTCAACTTGATATTCAAACTTTACTTACCAAATGTCTCTGTTAAAATTGAAATTACTAGGTAAAACATTTTGGTTTGAAATTTCCGCTTTCCCAGGTTTGAAGGTACAACTTTTGGGTAAAACAAGCAATAACCTGGTTATTTTGCATTATTATTGTGAAAAGTAATTGATAAAAGCTAAAGTAGTCTCGGTTTCTCTGGTCAAGTTGAACCGACTGGCGAGGAAAAACACATTTTGAGCAACTGAATTCAAATGAATATTTGCTTTAGTTTCCATTTTTTTCATTTCTATTTTCACTATCAACTTATATTGAAAGACTGTTGTGATCTGGTTGAAAGTTGATGACTAAAGTTGATTTGAAATAAACGTTGAAATAAAAGCTAAAAAAGGTTCAACCTGTGAGCTAAGGGTTCACCTAAATGCCTTGTTATCAACTTTTAACCCAACTTTTGAAATGAGTCAAAGTATAAAAAGCGTTTTCTGGTTATTTTTGCATTGTGACAAACCTGAAGTAAATGAAAGACTACAGTTGATCCAAATGGTAAACATTTTAGATTGAATTGGTAATCAACTGATTATTCCAGACTCATAATCTGATGTCCGGAAGATGGTCAATAGCATCAAGTTGAGATAATATTAATGATATGATGAAATAAAAAGTGTGAATAAACGGTGTAAACCCAATTTTTTGACTTTGATTCATCTTGATTTGTATTTACCTTTTCTGTTTGTTTGTTTGCCTTTGAACCAAGATTGCTCTTTTGATTAACATTATTGATTACCATTGTTTACACTTATATTTATTCAATTTATCATCCTCATCATCATCTTCTTCTTGATTCTCATGTTGAACAAAACTGAACGCAACTAATTATCATCAGTCTAATAATTTATATTTACTCTGTATTCTCACTTGATTAGTTGGGAATTATCACTGTCCAAGGGACTGAGTTTATTGCTGTTTCCATGAGAATCAAGGCAAAAGATGAAATTATGTTTACCATGTGAAGGATGAGGATGATGTGGTGCAAGTGAAACAAAACACAAGCAAAAAAGTAGGTAACCAAAAACTATCAAGAAAATACATGTTTACACGGAATAGTAATAAAAGAGATTAGCAAAGGTAAAGATGAAGATGGCAATGAAGGTGTTTACTGAAGATGAAAGGAGATGCTGATGATAAACAATAATATAACGATGATGATAATAATAATAGTAATATGCTATTTCTTGCATTCTCTGTGTTTATTTGTGTAAAAAGCTTGTGATGAATCTTGTTGCTCTATTGGTTTTTGCCTTTCAAACTAACTGTTATTGAATACCCAAGAGTTTTCAGAGATGAAGTTGGCCAAGATTTCAAGAAAAGAAGAAGAAAAAAAATTCTTCTTTCATCCAATTTTCTTCTCATTGAATCTTCTTTCATACGTTTTTTCTTCTTCTTGTTCTTCCTTTTTTTCTCTCTTCTCTTGGTTTCTTGTGAATTCATGAAATGACCAAGTATTACCAGTTGACCTCAAGGTAGATTCATTGTTGGCTCATGTTTACTTGAAACAATTTCAATTCATTGTGGATCGAATCAAATCACAGTTAATTTTTGCCCTTTTCATTTTCTGTTTTTAGTCTGTGTGTCTGTTAATCAACTCAATGGTTTATAACTTAATCATCAGTCTAATAACTTTTTGGTTTTCTGGTAAGCTCACAGGTAGAAACAGGTTTGATAATGAATAATTGATTGTTGAGGTTGAACGATGGAGTAACAGAAATAAAAAAAAAGAGGTTTCAATGATCAGATTCAATGTCTTGAAAGTAAACACGTCTAATTAAATTGATTTGTATACTCAAACTGTGATTTGATTCATCATTTTAATCATTTATTCATAAAGTCAAAAAAAACCAATTATCATGAATATACATTAATATATTTAATTCAAGGTTATGACCTTAATATATAAACCAGTTAGACGAAAATAAATTACCCAAAATTTTCAGGTTCAACATTTTCATATTTGTCTCTTTTTGGTCACAATTTAGTAACTTCAATCCATTAACTTTCAAATAATAATCATTATCGTCATCATCATTTCCCTAAACATCATGATTTTTCATCAAAATTTCATCAGTAAAGCAAGTCAATTAAGACTATAAGACATGCTACCGTCAACCTAACAGAGTGACTCTTGTCCGATCAAAGGAGACACACAGTGAGGGTCTTTTTCACGTTAATTTTTCATTAAATTTCAATTTTCCAATCTAAATGGCTTTCAGTTTTATCATCATCTTGATTCACATCATGTTTATTGTCATGATCATCTTCTTGATCATCTTCATCTTCATGGTTATCATCATTTTCACAAAATATTGAAATCTTTAAAACAAGTCAGGTTATGGTATAAGACATGTCAATGTCAACCTAGAAGAGTGACTCTTGTCCCATCAAAAGAGACACTTGGTGAGGGTAACTTTTACATTGCTTTACATTCAAAGTTGAAATTTCTGATGTTCATCTTCACCTTCATTAAATTCATCACCTGAGTCATTCCAACACTGAACATTCAAAAGGGAGTTTTTTCTTTTTGCAAATGTTTAAACATCATTAAACTAGACTATGAGTTGAATGGCATTTCATGATGATTGAAGACACTTGTCCAGATAATTTTAACACCTTTCTGCATCCTCATCACCACCACCATCATTATCATCGTTATTATCATCGTCATCATCATTACCATCACCATTATTATCATCATCTTTATCCTCATCATCGTCACCCTGAAAGTAAACACAAAAGACTGACGGAAATTCATGTTTCATTTTGCTTCTCACATCAAATAAACGGAAGTCAGTTGAATATCAATTTATTTTTGCTATGTTAATAAACGTCTTCTTCTTCATCTTTTCTTGTTCATCTTCCTTTCTTCTTCTCCTTTCATTTTCCATCGTCATAATTATTTTATAATAATTGTATTGTATTAACTTATTGTAATAAGCTTCTTCTTTAGCTCCTCTATCATCATTGAAGTACATCTTTTTTTTTGAAAAAAATAAGCTTTTCTTAAAGCTTCCCAAACGCAGAAGCAAACACTTGAAGACACTGCAGTTTGCTGTAGCTGTTTAGTTACAGTGTGGCTTGGGTTTTGATGTTGACTAACTGCGTAAAGGCTGGGCTTAAATGCGCTAAAGTGCGCTAACAAGGTTTCAGTTGAACAATGTTGATTAATGTTATAACTGGTTACTGCGCTTTCAGTTTGGTTAGTTTGAACTTAACCTCTCTGCTTCTCTGTTACCCTGTACATGTTATTATACAGTCTGAGCAAGCGTCAAAAGCTGCTGTTACCAGAAAATTTTTTTTGCCTTTTCTTTTTCTCTCTCTTTTTGCTCTCTTCTTCTTGTCTTCTTGAAGTAACCCATTTTTCTTTACTCTCTTTTCCTCTCTTTAGTTAGCAACAACAAACTTGATCATCATCACCATCTTCAACATTTTGAATCAAGAGAAAGAAAAAGAGAGAAGTTTGTTGTCTACAATTTTATCAGTCCTTATGAAGAAGCCAAATTTTGTTGGACTGACAATATTTGGTTTCAATGATTTTGTATTATCCTTTTTATTTTCTTTTTCTTTATTATTTTGGTGTCTTTTTACCTCTTTGTGATTCTGGTAGCTCGGATCCGGAGATACAACGGTTCAGTGGTAATTTGAGTCATTCCGATGACTTCAAATTAATCCTTCGGGATGGAGATTTTCTCATTATTGGAGCTAAAAATTTAATTTATAACATCAGTTTAACCTCTTTTGAGACTGTTCGACGCCTTGAATGGTATCCATCGGAACAGGATCTTGATTCTTGTGTTTTAAAGGGAATCAATAAAGAGAAAAGGTGCCAAAATTATATTCGTGTTCTTGCATTGAAATCGGATGGAGGCCTTTTTGTGTGTGGAACCCATGCTTACAGGCCAAAGTGTCGAGATTATGTGCAAACAGCAAACGGATATGAATACCGTAATGAGACACCAGGAGATGCTTTGTGTCCATTTGGACCGGATCAAAATAATACTGCTATCTTTGCAGGTAACATCAAAACATCAAAACATTTGAAATAGAGGTCGGTTGGTTACCAGCAAAGGGCTAGTTGGCTCGTTATCAGTAAAAAACAAAGTGATTGATTAATTTTTTGATCCATCAACCAGTTAAAACCAGTGTTACTCTTGCTGCCAATAATGACCAATAGAAGTGTAAATTTTAGTTAACTCAAGTTACCAGCTTTCTGTTTCTACTCAAATTTGAATTTCTTTTTTCTCTCACTAATCGAACAGATAAATTGATTTTGTTTGTTTGAAAACTGAGAGTAACCAAGGAGTTACTGGTTATCTCTTGTCAATCTTCGAAAGTAACCGCGGTTACTGTTAATACAGTTTATCAACTAAACCAACGCTTAACCAACGGGCCTCTAAGAAAAGAGTTTTTTTTCTTTTCTGTTTATTTTCTTTCTCTTGACTTCCAACTAACACATTAACTAATTTTCTTTCTCTTTCTAACTTGAATCTTAACTAATGATCATAACCAGAACCTGTGAAAGACAAACCAGGTACATTACCTTTTTCACTAACAAATTTTCTGTTCTCCGTGATCAACTCTTCAAATTAACCAATTTTACCAGAAAAGCTGACTCTTATTCCAATCAAAGTTACAATCTGTTTACAGTATTTGAACCATCTAATGGTTCTCTCAGTGTAACATTCAGAATAAGAATCAGCTTTATCTTCAATAGAAATTATTATTCAACCAATGACTACAATGTTTAACCTTTTTCTGATTTTTTTTCTTGTTTTCATTTTTCTTTCTCACATTACTCAGAAACTAAACTTTATGCAGCAACACCTACTGACAGAGCGGGAAGTTTGTATTCAATTTCCAGGCTTCCTTTGCAAACAAGACCCTCTGATGTGCTTCAATTAAATGGTGAGTTTAATCTGATCCCTATTATTCCCTATTAAACTATAACGTATGAGACATATTATTATTCGATTAGTTTGAAAATAGCATATTGAAATGCATCAGGGCATGCCCTGATCACCATTTATTCACCATAGAATCCATCTTGAAATATATTATTACTGCATGTAATATACATCGTCCCATATCTCTAATCCATCATTTTTACCTCTTTCATAATCATTATAAAACTAATATAATGTTGATGATGATGAGGGTCAAGAACATGAGCCTTGCTCTTTTTTTATATAAGAAAATAAATTCAGGTAAAACTTGGAATAAAATAGATTATCAGTAAAAGATTAAGGGAAAACAATCGAAAAAGTGCACACAACAAAGTTTATTTCTTTTGTTATTACCATTATTACCTTGATTATCGTTTATTATTGCTATTGTCATTATTACTACGGTTATTATTGTATTCTGTACTAATCCTGTTTTTATGTCTTCTTCTTTATCTCTATCTTATTTTTTTTATTACAGAACCTAATTTCGTCAATTCCCAGGTATACGGAAAACATGTATACTTTTTCTTCCGAGAGAGTGCAGTTGAATTCAGTAATTGTGGTAAAGTTATCTATTCTCGAGTAGCTCGAGTCTGTATCAATGATCAGGGACATCCCTCTTTCAAAAGCCTATGGACCAGTTATCACAAAGTCCGTCTTGATTGCTCCATTCCGGGCAAATTTCCTTTCCAATTCAATGAATTACGTGAGTTATCCAAGCTCCATCTTTAACCCTGTGATTCCCGTTGTTGCTTTGCATTCAAATTTAATATTCAACCAAGGAAAACACTGGCATCATCATTTCTTCGCCTTATTTCCTTTCTCTCACATCTTCATCTCTGTTTCTCGTCATCATTCCCTCATCCACCTTCACTTAATCCTTACTCCACTCCATTTCCCTCATAGAGTCACATTATAAATATCTCTATATTATTACTCTATTGGAATCATATCACCATATCAATTGAGAATACAAGTGAATCTTTCCTCTCTTTTTCCTCATCTTTAGTGTATATTCCAATGTTGCTTATGATGAAGATGAAAATGATCAGTCTTAAGCCTACTGTCGACTGTATTCAAGTTTCCTCTTTTTCTCTCCTTCTTCTCATCATGCTGGTGATGGTGTAGCTGATGATGATGATGATCATTGCTAATAACATTATTTGATTTCTTTGGCATGAATATCCAGATGATGACGCCCTATGAGAATAATAAACAGGGAAAAGCAGAAAAATGATAAACAAGAGGATCCATAATACTTATAACCAAATTTCTTCATCTTTAAACCCAAATAATATTAGTTAGACTGACTAACACTAATTAAGTGTTTTGTCTCTTCAATTTTATTTGCTCTTGCAATTTAGTGTCACCATAATAACCACTCTAACAATGGTTTCTTGAGATGCTAAAAGATGAAAGAGAAGATGCAAATGAAGACAAAAGAGAAATATCACATCAAGATTAAGGTGTTGCGGTAGTTGGAGGAAGACAAGAATAAAACTTGAAATTAGGCTTTTCCATGATAGAGAAGCTCATTGAAGGTCTTGTTTCTCTTAAAATCTCTTTGCTTACTTTTCAACATAAATAACCTGGCATAAGCAAGATTTATCTAAAAGAGAATAAGAATTACCAAAGTGAAAACTTCTGAGTTTATCTTTTCTTCTCTCTTCGTCATCATCATCATCATCACAACCATCATCTTCTTATTCTTCTCAGTTTTCTTTCTTTCTTCAATATTTTCTGTTGTTGTTATTGTTGTACAAAAGTTTGACTTCGTTGTTTTGTGTTGATGTTGACTTTGATTTATATGTTATCCAAAAAGCAAGATTGCTTAGGCTCTCTCTATATTGTAGTAACAATTTTGCTTCTTGGCTAACAAATCACGATTTAATATTAATCTGCCATTCTCAAAAAGGTAGCCCTTGTCAATCAACGATTTATTTATTTTTAGTTATTGTTGCCTGTTAATGATAATAATAATAGTAATAATAATTTAGTAATAACATTAATAACAATGTTTGAAGCTTAAAGAAACGGGCAAAGCTAGAGAAGAAGCAAGAGAAAAAATTGTTTATTGAAAAACTGTGATGATAAAGATGGATTATTCAATGTTTTCAGATTGACATGACCTCACTAATGGGCCAACACTCTTATAACAATGAGTTGATTTTTGGGTGAGAATGGATTAGCAACCTAAAGATGTAAACTCACAGTCAGAGGGAAAAAATTATTTCAATCAACTTGTGCTTTTTTCATTAATTTTCAGTAATGATTTTCATTAACTTACAGTTCCTGTTGAAACAATTCAATAATTATTTCTGTTTACACATTTTTTTTCTGCCAGATCAGTCACATCATTGTGCAAATAGCAGCATCATCATCACAATGGTTCAACTGGAAAAACTGAATTCTGTCAATTTGAAAAACTTTTCAATGATTTATTATTTGAAAGAAAAAGGTTGATTGTTAATTGAGGGTCATTAAATTAAAAGTTTACCTTCTATTTTTTTTCTCAACCTTTCATGTTCATCTTTACCATTATTATCAGCTTCTACTGGATTATTTTCACATTGGAAAAGAAGGGTTCACTTGACATGGTGAGAATGAAGTGAAGATGATCTGAAAGAAAATTCTGTGTGTGTGTTAGGATAAAAAGTCATCATCTATAATTAAATTCAGTGTTAGAGTTTATATTATTGCTTGATTTAATAGCGTCCAGTTTTAACCATTGATGCGTAACTCATCTCATTAATTATCAAAGGCTAATTTATTGTGACTTTACCTTCTTTTTATTTCCTATTCTTTCTCTTTTTCTAGAGTAGATTATTTTGGTTATAAAGCTTGTCTAACCCATCATCATCTTGCTCACAATCATTATAAAACATTACATCAAGCCAGTGTCTTCCTTACCAAATTTACACTTGAATTGTCTGAATAAAACAAACATTCATTCCAAGTGAAGTTAATATTCTTGAAAAAGCAAATTCAGTTTTACACTGACTTCCCATAGTTATTTTCATCATTCACTTTCCACTCTCTATCCTCCTACCTCTGAACATCTTTTTTCATCTCTCAATCTTTCTCAACTTCCTTCCATGAATTTACCCAAATACAAAGTCCATTATCAATTTCATTCTAATTAATTGGTCTTTTTTTCTCTCTCTCTCTCCATTTCACTTTATATCTACAATTGACTCCACCTAAACATTGGCCCACACCCAAACAAACCTCTGGACTCTGACTGAATTGTATCTAATGGCTTTTCCCCTTTTAATGGATACTTTAAAAATTACAATGATGATAATTCAACTAATGTACACTTAATGGTGTATTTATATCACTGATGTTGTGCATTTGGTTTGTGTCACCAAATTTTTTCCTTCATTTATATTTACTTTAATGTTATCAACATCAGAATCAACCAGTGATATAATTAGAGGAAGCTATAGTGGTCGAGATCCGGTCGAAATTTTCTATGGTGTTTTCACTACACCCGACAATGCATTATCTGCATCAGCTATTTGTGCCTACACCATGGGAAGTGTCCAGGATATTTTTGACAATGGTCGATTCTTGGGCCAGGAAAGGTTTAACTCAATTTGGGCAGAGGTTCCTGAATCTCAGGTTCCCTCACCACGACCAGGTCATTGTGTTCCCGATTCTAGAGCTACTTCTGATGCTCGAGTCATTTTTACTCGAGATAAGCCGCTTATGGCGGGTAGTGTTCGTCCACTTTTTGGTCATCCCATAATTATTCAAACTAATCCTCGATTTAGATTTACCAAAATTACCGTTGATCCACAAGTTGAAACTGTTTCCGGATCAAGGTTTGATGTAATTTTTGTTGGAACCACTGATGGTCATGTTCTTAAAGTCATCAATTCAGCATCCAATGCACCCAATGGACATGAAAATTACAACAAAACTCTGCCTGTAGTCATTGATGAAATTTCAGTTTTTCCCGGTAAACCCATACTCAATCTTTTAATTTACCGGACTATTTACGAATCAAAGTTAGTTGTTGTTACAGACTCGGAGGTTCAAGCAATGCCTCTATCTAAATGTGAAAAACGTGCCAATTCATGTGGGAAGTGTGTTGCCCTTCAAGATCCATACTGTGCATGGGACATTTCAAGATCGTTATGTACATCTGCTCGTCTTCGTATTTGGAATAGAGACAATTTTGTACAAAATGTTGAAGAAGCATGGGACAATAGATGTCCCGATGGAAGACCTCCAGGTCCTAATGATCCAGGCGGGGGAAGTGATGTAAGAAATGGTGATCGTTTAGCTACCGGTGATAGACACTCATTAGGAGGATCACCGCCATTGACTGCCGAGAGAAACAGTGGAACAGATGAAACAACAGGATCTAATTGTGAAATTGCTACATCACAGTGTTTCTCATCAGACACTTTAGCCTTTGGAATTGTGACCTCAGTGGTTTCCTCTTTGGTTATCGGTTTCATTTTAGGCTACATTTTTAGTCATCGTTGTAAAAAAGAAGATCCTGGGGTGTGTTCCCCTTATGCTGATGGTCGAGCCTACCTTGACCATAGGACATTAAGTCGTCATTTACCCAATGACACTTACGGTGGTTTAGGTGTACCAGCAATTAATAAACCAATAAATCTAGTGTTAAATGTTCCACCCAAGAATGGAAAAAACGCCAACAGCTCGGCAGACAACAAACCTATTCAGAAGGTGAAGAAGATATATTTATAGGAAGTACTCTTCCTCGTGGTTCGATTAAACAACAACAACAGTCACATTCACATCATATTTATCAACCAACTCAGCAACAATGGGAATCAACTGTAAATAGATACACATATGAAACTGATTCTCGTGATTCTGACTATGAAGATATAAGTGATCTCTAATTGTTTAATCAACACACACACACAATAAATATACTTTTTCATCAACCTTTCAAGTTGGTTGAACAAAGGAGAGAGAAAATTTTCTTTCTCTTCTTCAACTAACATGGATACAGAAATTGAACCCAACAGTTGACAGACTTGGAGCTCAAGTTTTCTGGTTATCCTGCTTTAAAAATTCATGGTTAAAACTTTTATTACCCAACATATTGCAAAAAAACGGATGATTCACAGTGAAGTAAACACGCAATTACATGTTGTCCAAATTATTCAAAATGAAATGTTGCCATTCTTGTAATAACATCTGATGAAGAAAGGCAATCCTTAGCGGTGTGACAAAAACAAAATACAGGAGCAAAAGAGGACCCAAATCCTGGTTTAGAGCTTATTAAGCATCCAGATCATCATCATTATCAACATGATTGTCTCTAACATCTCTTCTGTGTGAAGATTATACATGGATTAGCTTGATCTTGCGTCCTTTTCTCTATCTTCCTGCAATATTTCAGTGTATTACATCTTCTTTTCCTGCACTTTTCCTAATGTTTGACAACTGATGAGGATAATTCCATGTCTAACCAAAAAGACAAGAAAAAAAGGAAATGTGCATCAAAAAAAGTAGAGGAGGAGATAAGATACCTGCCTTTTCCAATGCTTACATTGATGTTCAATTCTATCTGTCTAAGTGAAACATGTCTCCACTCTGATGATCATCAGGGTAATGTTGATGAACCCTGTTTTTTGACACTGGATCTCGTATTGGATATTACAGATCTACATGGATTACTGTTCTTTTCATCTTCATTCTCTTGAAATTCTGGTTTCACAATCTTCTCAAATATACGTGTTTGATGAAAAAAGGATGGAAACTTGCAGAAAAAGATTCAAGTACACACTGAATATTGATTCAAAGGTTGATTTTGCTTCTGCTGTGGGAACAGGAAATTGTTAAACTCTGATAATCAAATTGAAAACATCAATTAACTTAATAAAGAAATACGGAATGGATCTGAATCAAAAATCGATTCAATTTGTTCCACTCTTCAGGAATAAATATCAAGATCATGGATGATTACACTCAGACGCTATGGACCATCAAGACTTTGGCCTTAATTGCAATTGGATCTAGTCTAGAGCCAAGGATCGTGTTCAATCAAATTCTGGGTTATAGCTACGGCAGTTGTCTGGATCCAATCTGAATATATGGAACAGTTATTTCAATATCAATTTATAAGATGTTCAATTCTTCTCCTGCCGCAGTCCCGCATTTCAAGACTATCTGATGCCAATCAAATCCTTTTTAATTATAATCGACTGAGCCTGAAAAGCATCTAATGAGATGTTCATTCAAAATATTCTCTCTTTTTGGCGATTATCGGATTATGATGAATCCTGTTTCAAGCTATTGAATCATTTTTTTTGGATATGATGGATTTACATGGATAACTGATCTCTTTATCTTTCATCCTTTTATTTTTTCTCTCTCCTGTTTGCGTTATGCTTCTGTAATCATCTCCGTGAATGGATGTGTCTGGATAATAACAGTTTATCATGGATTCAAGCACACTCTGAATAGGTACTCAAAATTAAATGTTGCCTCTGCCGAGGGTAAACAAACACAATTTATTAAAAAAAACAAACAAAGGATGCAAGCACCGAAAACAGCAAATTAACAAATAACGATAACCACAAATTTTTAAACATGTATAGTGTCATCTTGAAGCAAACCCAAGATGAATGAACAAAATGTTTTTTGACTATTATTATTATTATAAATTGAAACAGTTTTTTTCAATTTCATCTTCAATTTTTTCTTTACCTCCCTGTGATCATATTTTCCATCGCTTTGTACAACAACAATCATCATCGCCATCATCATCATCATCATCATCATTTCATTATTACCTTCATCAGCCAAAAAATCATCTCATCTTGTAGACACTTCAAATAAAGCTAAGCAAAGACAAAGACAATGAAAGATAGTTTTGGTAATATTTAAAAGAACGAACGAACGAAAAGAAAAGTTCTTATTAAACTCAAAGTTTGAGTAAAATCGATTGCAGCCTAAGATATTGGAGCCACCATAAAAGAAGGAAAGAGAGTTGAAAATGCTAGAACTTTGACTCGAACAACTCTACAATATCGTCCCATTACTCAACCTTCATTGTCAATTCCTCGAGTTACCGAGTATGGACAACTTCTAGTCTGGTTTTCCAAGCATTTCCATTCTATTTATTTCCAATTCCAGATATCATGAAATCACTCTCATCTTCAAATTGAACGAATGACAAAGCTACCTTAAAAGCTTAAATTTCAAACTACTTTGGTTTACATTATTTGGTTTTTTAAGGATTATTAGTACAATTTTATGACGAGGAAATGTATCTGAAAGGCAACAAAGATCTTAAAATAATAAAAGCATAATTTCATTGTACCATTGAACCAGTCTATTAATAATTACTTAAACATTAATGGTTAAGATTATCAAATAAGGTTGCTTTCATTGGTGATGAAACCAAAGAAATGAAAATAGCACCAAACATTACCAACAATTCAACATTGATTTGAACACAAGCTTCTGTCCATTTGCAAAATCAGATTTGTAATGTATTCGAATTGTTGAAAAGTTCGGAATTTTGGCTTTTTTCAAACGGTTAAGAACATGATTGTCGAGTAGGACCAATTGACCAAGATCGGGTTCTTGTTAAATTAAAACAATCTGCAAGTCCATGGATTTTTTGAATTTTTTTCAAATTCTTCAGCTCAGCTTATCCAATCACTTTCACTGTAAACCCGATGTCTGCCAACAAACTCGAGTAAACTTGTACCCCTGAAAAGGTAGAAGTGTCATGAATTTCAATAAAATATTTTACTTTCCCGTGAAACTCAACTTATTAAGCAGCCATCAAAATCCTTTCAGCCCAAATGAAGATCAATGAAAATGGGAAATATTACAGAAGCGGAACATATTGAACAACATTGAATGGTATTCACTCATAATGAATTATAAAGAAGAGACTTGATTACTTGACTTTTTGTTTAATGTAGCGCAGTGTTCAATAGATTGGAGTAAAAATCTCTAAACTTTCACTTCATGGTTAATCATTGAGACTTCATTCAACGTTGGCTGTTTTTTCAAGAAAAAGATGATTTCAAGTTGACTGCATCAAAAGGAATTTAAAGCCGTTCCATATCATGATTGTTGATGACTAAACAATTAACCAGACAAGCTCAGTAATAGACAATGAGAAATGAGAAACGGGACAAATCATCAAACTAAGACTTGCTGTTAATTTTGCCACAAAGTGTCACAAAATTAAGATTTATTAATATTTTACATTCAACAGGATTCATAACCAATGGAATTTTCAATGCTATGATTGGAGCAACTAAGCATGATGACACCATGTTGAAAACTTGAATTTGTCTTCTCTTGAATAAAATCAAACTTGATTCTTTAAAAAAATCAATATCACTTAGCGTCAATCTTGTTTAAACCTGATTCTTACCAATTATTAAATGACGCAGACCAAAACAAGCAGTTAACAACAATCGTCAAGGTCCAATGAAACAAATTGAATAAAATTAAATTCAAAAAGCTCAACTATTGAATAAATTTTAACAGATTGTCAAACATTGAAACAATGGTTTGGCAACAGTCGATGACAAATGTGGGACAATTGTCACAAAAGATGAAACAACGCAAAAAAGTCTGCCATTGTGACCTGTAAACACTGATGACTATGCAAAACTAAGCTACAATGAAATTGAAATTAATGGCAATTGACTGTCATCGATGAAGATGAACAAGATTGCCATTATTTAACAAACAATAAAACAATCTTTAACAATTAAATGTGTAAATCAATTTTTGATGTTTCTCACCTAAACAACTCAATCTACAAACATTGCTATAAGTTGTTTAAGTTGAAGAGTAGAGAGAAAACGGAAAAATGGATAAGAAAATCAGACAAACTGAGCAATCAATCAATTGATTTAATGTACATCACATTGAACCATCAATTGTTTGCCACAGATTAAAGTTAATCAAGAGATTGAAATTGGTGCAAATGGTGATGATTAAAGTGACAGACCCAACAATCGGATTAAAACAGGAAAACGGAAAGTTAACCGTCAATTACAATGTAATTTTAATCAATCAATTACAAGCAGCGTTTAGTGATGGCAAATCAGTGACACAATTATCACAATTAAAGGTCTTGTAAATTATGAGCTTTGTAAACAGAGTTGAACAGTCAACTGTCAAAATTGACTTTTATTGAAGTCAACAAAATGTTGATGATAATTGGTACAAATTAACACGCCAATTGAATCAAAGTCCAGCAAATGGTTAACATCGGAAATGGTCAATTCACGCAAATCACCATTGATTGGATCGAAAAAGATAAACGAACAATATATTGAATGGAATTGATTTACATTTAAATTTGCTTCATCGGTTGCTTGTTAAATGACTTGACTTGTAAATTTGCTGCTAATCAATCAAAGACGAACCAAGTAAATTGAAATGTTAAATGACTTTTGACAATCAACTTTGGCACACGAATCAAAGAGGCAAGCAAGAAATGATTTATTTTCAATTGTTTCCCACTGGCAACCAGTATCACTTATCTGATTGTTTAAACAGTTTATCATTGACTTGCTAATCCACTGAAATTAAGAAAATTGTCGTTCAATTTGTGCTTCAATTTGTACCGCAGACATGACAATATTTTCGCGTTTCATCAACATAATCATGATGATCTTTTTTGCCTTGGCCACCTTTGTTCAACACAATGATCCTGATTGGTATTTTTGGGGTTCCGTCTATCTTGTGCCCACTCTTATGTCTACTGTTCAAGCCTTTAGTGTGACCATTACTTATCATTATGTTTACCAGGCGTTTATACGATCTTGTGCGCTTCTCTACTCCTTGTTGACACTTTTTCATGCCTATTATTTCATCAGGTTTGCCAGTAATGTGTCTACTCAGGGTTGGATTGATAGTACCTTTGAAAGTCAGTCGATGCCCTCATCTTCACCCACAACCAATCTGTTGATTGTCGACTCGGAGGAAGGCCGAGAATTTCTTGGTTCACTAATTGCTCTCCTTTGGATCATCATTTCAATTTACATTACGACTACCAATCAAGTTGGCGATGCTGCACTTTCAAGGCGCTTTAAAATACTCATTTTCATCTTTACTCTTATACCAATCATTTTATGGTTTATCCTTTACACTCTTGAAGTTTACCTCTGCTAAATGCCAATACAATTTAATAATACAATTGATCGTTTGCCAGACAAATACATGTTCACATGAATATATACATGCTTATACTTGAATCCATCACACTCTGCTAATTGCAACGAGAACAGCAGTCGCATTGTAACTCATAGTTTACATCAATTAACGATGAAAAAAACCGCAATAAAAAACGCCTAAAATTGAAAAGACTAAAAATATACTGGAAAACCAAAGCCTGAAAGTTAATGTAAAATACAAGCGCAAAACTAAACTCATTTGTCACTTTAAACCAAAGGAAACCAAAATTTAAACATTCAATTGCTACTCAAAATCAAAGCCTAAATCTTGCAACAAACTTTAATCTTAAACCAAAAATTCCGATCCAAAATGTACACTTAAAATGGCTTAAATTGAAAACCTTTAATGCCAACCTTAAATAAGCTGAAAATTGATTTATAACTGTAAACTTTATAAACTTTAATTACCAGGCTTAAATTGAAAAATAACAAAATGGTAAATTGTGTTGCAACATAAACAAATCCATTAACTAATTTCATTTGTTAACACAGTTAAAAATAAAAGCTACCCAACGAATGCAAAGCGTCATTGATTTATTGAAATTCAAAGGTAATCATAATTAGACAGCAAGAGAAAAGCAAAAAAAAATCTCTCTGGCGGGGAATCGAACCCCGGTCTCTCACGTGACAGGCGAGGATACTAACCACTATACTACCAGAGATGATCACATGAAGGAAAAGTATTAAATTGCTATATAAACTTAACTAATAAATTTGCTAAATTTTTTCTTTATTCGAAGCTAAATGAACTGGAAATGTTTTGTTGGACATATTTTTTTCAATTTGTTAGTTAAAATATCTATTCTTATTGGTGCTGACGTGCTAGTTTAGTTTAGTTTCAAGTAAATTGAATAAAATTAAGTGTTGTCATAACGTCTATTTGCAACTCCATCTGTTGTTGACTTTTTAATTAGAGTTTAAAAGAGTAAATATTGCTCTAAAGAGATGGCGCTGTTTGGCTTATTTAGTTTGGTGGTTGTATTGATAGATGGCGGATCTTTAGCTGTTAAGTGACTTGAGTTGAGTGTTGAAGAGGTAAATATGAAATGTTGAATGCTATTGATTGGTGTTGATTTGGATAGATTTGTAAACTCATTTTGTGATTGTAACCTCTTCGATTGAGTGCCAATTGTCCTTCAATGGGAAAATGACGAAGATAATCTAATCAGAGTTTGAATAGTGATTAGGTGAGTGAAGTGACTTGAATGAAATGACACTAAAGCTTAATATTTGAAATAAAATAGACTCTTGTTTGTTTTAAATCAATTTTTTAATGATTTTTGTTTTGAAAGGGAACATTTCATGTTTTTTCATTCGTGTTTTTTGTATGTTTAATTTAAGAAAAAATGAAGTTTACGTTGGGTGAAGATTTGAACTGAAAAGTGACATTCAAATGTGATTCTTGATGTTTTATTTTTTGTTGAGATGCAGTTGTTGTGGTTTTTCAAGTTTAATTTAATGTATTTATAGTTGTGGTTGATGTTTTGTTTTGGTAGAACCATGCGTTTTAGTGTTTTGTATTTTTAGAGTTATTTTGATGAAATAACCGTGCAAGAATTAAAATTGACGTTTATTGCACGCAAAATATGAGATGAAATGTGAATGGCGAGTTTTTGATGGAAATGATGAGTTGAAAAAGAGGAAACAAAGCGATAGTTAAAAGTGGTTGAAATGATAGAAGTGAGAAAAGACTCATTATCATTATCATTATCACCATCATCATAATCATCACCACCATTAACATCAGCAAGACTAATAGAGACGAAAATGATGTACATTTGTGTGACTTTTGCGCCTAGACAGGTAAAAGCATGAAAAGGTGATCAAGATCAGGCAGCGACTTAGAGACGAAAGATGAGGAAAACGCAAAATAGGCGATGATGATCAACATGAAAAATGTTTACAGGAACCGGGAACCAAGCAAGAAAAGTGAATCTTGCCGCTCTAAATCCTTTTCTCTCCCGAAGTGTTTTTGGCCTTTTCATTTGTTCAGGTCTTTCGAAGCAAAAAACGTTTCAATAAATAACTTCATAGACGGTGGCTTTCTTGTCTCCTGATCCAGTAACAATGTATTTATCATCCGAGGAAATATCGCAACTCAATACAGACGATTGTTCCCTTGACTGTAAATAAGATGTGAAAAAAAGGTTGATTAGTTAAAGATAAACATTTGAATGAAATTTTTCATTCTCTTCGCGCTTTTTTTACCTGGAAAATTGAAGCTCCATAAGGTGTTCTCCAGGCATTTAACATGTTGTCTTTGCCAGTGCTGACAAACCATTTGCCACAGTAAGCAAATTTAAGTGATAAAACGCAGCTATCATGAAGATGAAGTTGATATTTTTCCAGCTTTGAGCAATGCATTACTTCAACATTACTGCTTTCCATACTGTAAATGGGTGAGAAACAAGAAGTCAATAAATTTGTGGATAAAATGGAAACAAAAAAAAAATCAATGAAATGTTCAGATGGTTTTATCGATGAGGGAAGCAATTGAACATCTATTATTTAGATGAGTTTTGTTACTCGAGTTTGTCAAGTTGAGGATGAAAAGATTGTCAAATGGGGTTAAAGATGTTTAATGTTGACAAGTCATTTTTATTGCAATTAATAGAGTCAAAATGTTTTATGTTTATCAATGTTAATCGTGACAATTAATGGCAACAACTTGTAATGCTTATCAATTTGTAATCTTTTCAATATTTGTTCACTTCATAACTCAATTTTCATGCAACTTGAATTTTCTTTTTTCGATTTTTTTATTGTCTTTTTTTGGGTTCCTCATTGTGTTCAATTGAGACCAGATAAAACAATCTTGTTCAACGTTTCGAGACACTTCATTGACAACTTACCCAACTGCTAACCAGTCACCGGTGGGACAGTAGCCAAGTGAAAATATTTGTGATGAGAAATCGTGAAGTTGAAGTTGACGACCCTGGATAATGATAATGAATGAAAATAAGACATTATTAATTGATGGATCCATGTTAATGATAGGCTTGATTGATTGATCTCGCAACAAAATACATTTAATGAAAATGATTGGTAATGGTGAGAGAAGTGAAAGGGGAGAAAAATTTAATCATTCAATGATAATCATTATTAGCAATTCAATTTTTACCATTTTCCTTTTTTTGCAACATTTTGTATTCATGAAAAAAAAGACTCAATAATATTCAATTTCCTATTTTTTTATATCAATAATCTTTATTCACTTGACCAAGGAAAATGCCCAAGGTTTGCAAATCAAATCACTTTCAGTTCATCAAATGATGAACAAATCGCTGAAATGTATATTAAGAAATCATTTTTTTTGTTAAAGCAAATTATCCATGAAATAATTTGAAAGAAGCAAGCTTTTCTAGTTTCCATTTAATCGATATTTTGTTTCTAGTGTGTTTTGGGAAACTATCAATCATGACTAGATGAACGAAAGACAATTTGCAGAATCATGTGAAAGCTTAACTTTTGGAAATCGAAATGAAAATTTTTCTAGTTAGTGAGAGA